TGTCGTTATGTCGGTGTATGTGGAGCGAGAATGGTGAGAGATTGTCAATACAGAGGTTGTCAATACCGGCACTTCTAATTTGCAGCTACAATTATACATACAATGTAGTGTGTGTTCCAAGTTGGAACAAGTACAGTGTTACTTACTTGATGTACACTTGATCTAGACTTTATTTGTATGTGTGTGTGGGTGTGTGCGTGTATGCGCGTACGCCTTTCCCAAAGGTGCTCTTTTAATTCGCACTTAGTGCTTTTCGCATCTGTCAAAATATGCTGAGAAAGTGCTCCTTTTCAGTTAAAACAGGCAACAAGTGCTCTTTTTTTCAGTGAAGCATAGCCATGATACATGTACATGTACATGTTCAGATTTGAACCCGAGCTGAGAAATGAATACGCGCTCTTCAATTGATGGGTCCAACAAAGCAGGAAGTAAAGTTCAAAAAACCCACTTTTTCCGCATTGTGTACACCGGGTACAAGCCTCACCATCTTGTTGCCCCAAAAAAAAAACAGCGTGCTGAGGCACATCGAGCACTCGGAAACTGTGATCGCATTCATGAGCAAACCGATTTTAGCACTTTTTCAGCTAAAAAAGCTCAAAAAGGGCGATTTTCACAAAAAAAGGAATACAGGGCGAAAGAAACGAGCTTTTCCAAAAAGGGCGAAAAAGGGCGAAAAAAGGGCGAGCACCTTTGGGAAAGGGCTACATGTATGTGCGTGTATGCACGTGTGAGAAAAGGAAGAGAGTGTGGGTGTATGTGTGTGTAGTGGTGTGGGCATGTTTGGATTTGGCATTTAAGTCCCCAGCTCTATTCTACATGTATATTATTCACGCCGGAACTGCTGCTGCATAACCCCAAGTCTGAAGCCTTGGCAACCTCACGCCTACACCTGACTCTTGCGCTATGGTACGCGTCGCCTATGATACTCCTCAGAATTTCCCACCTTGCTCCCCTTATGTTCTGGCTGCCCGTTTTGGATCCATCAGTTGCCTGATTATCGTAGTAATACGTGAAACTCAGACTTGTAACAAAGCTTCTAATCTCTCTCTCTTGTGTAGAATATATTGCTAAGTTCAGCATATCAGTACTAATAATATGAATGCAAAAAATATTTTTCACTCACAAAATTAATATTTTCGTGTTTTTGCTCTAGTCTTGTTCTGCACAACTCCATTGAATCTTCCGTCGTGGTCTTTGTTTTTCCTCGTGGTAGTTGCAGTTGCCCGCCCACCCACCCTGGTTTCATTGTGGTCTTCCGCTGTTCATCTGGATAATCTATACCGATGTGTGTGGCTTATGATTATGACATACACCGGTTATTACATACAATTTCTTGTTGTCTCTATTCTTGGGTCCGACTGGCAGCGGGGCAGGAATTAATGAAATAGAAAGGTTTTTTGGCCGAAAGGCATGTTTTTCCTCTAGCCCAGTTGAGCTGTCGCGGCTAGGAATGTAGGGAGTCATTGTTTTCAGGCACTCCCCTGCTGCCTAGTCACCCATGTTCACCACTGGCCATGCTGTGTCACTTGATTTTGCGGTCTTTTCTCCCGCTTGCTGGCGGTTCTTTGACTGATTTAGATGTTTTCGGCTATTCATCTATTATGTGGCTGGGAGCGTGGTTTTTGCTTCTATTCATTTCTGGAAAACCACCACGGTGGTGAGTGTGATTGCTCCGGTAGACCACTACCCCATATGTACTGAGCAGTTGCTTTGTGAGTGAAAAGTGTATCCTCATCCTACTGCTATTAAATTATATATTTGTCGATTCAGTCAGGATTGACACAAAAAAATACAAAATACAAAATAAAATATAAACACCAAATATTAATCCCATAGCTATGCAACAGACGTTACTTCAGTATCGTTTGGCGCTAGCCAGGGTCCACACAGCTTTGACACATTACACGCATGATGAGCAAGCAAAAAAGCATTGCGTAGGGCCTGAGCTTCCAAGCTCTCTCGTTTTATTAATATTGCCGGTGTATAGGCCTGGGCGGATAATGTTATTTTGCGGGATAATGCTAATGGCAATGCGAGAAAAACTGTCTCATAATGCTACTTATAATGCTGCTGTTCCTCTGTAATTCCAGCCATTCACCAGTAGTAAGTATGGAAAAATGGCTTAGTTTGGGCAGTATTATGCACGTTTCGTAGTTCTACGTAGACGGCATGGAAAATGCTAGAAAATCATGATCATAATGCTAATTTTATGCTGCTATTGCTCCATAATGCCAGTAAAACGCCAATAGTATGCATGGAAAATGGCTTACTTTGGACAATGCTTTGCAGGTTGTGCAGTTCTATGTACAAGGCATGCAACGGTCCATGCACTAATGCTACATGACTGTACAAATATCAGCTGCTCCCACCCCACATTTGACTTGTCGTGGTCCAAACTTCCATTATTTGAGTACAATGCCACTTTTGTGGAAATGTAGTGTTGTAATGCTAGCATAATGCTCGTTGCAAATCGCACACTATAATGCTACTTATAATGCTAGCATTATCCGCCCAGGCCTACCGGTGTAAGTTTTAAAACTTTTTATTGCAATCCTTAAGTAAAGAACATGCCAACTTTAGTGGAGCTGAGAGCGAAAGGTAGGTATACAATGTAGGTTCTGGTCAAAATACTTGTCACAAGCAAAGAGATAAATCAACAACTAAGGAATGCATGACAAGACATGGTAGACTACATTCATGTAGAGTGTTCATGTAGATGGCATGCATGGTAGACTACAGACCTAGTACATCTGTCAAAGCATTCGTCTAGGGATTGAGTTGAATCTTTTACACAACCTTGTCTTATCTGCCTTGAGTTTCTTTGGATTAGACTTTTCAAATTTTCATTTTGATTTCATCGTCGAGATTCATCCCTTGTATGTTTGGTGTTCTTCCTTCTTTCCATGTCGTATTGTTTGAATAAAACCGTTTTGACACATACCTAGTACCTGCAGTAACTGTAGTTACTGTGTTCGACTAGTAGAGTCTAAATTAAATTTTATTAGTCTGTGTACATGTACTGTCCCAAGAATCGCTGTTTTTATTCAACGTGACATGGAAAAGGAAGAACACCAAACGGGTGAGATACCAAGAATAGAGTCACAGTTTGACCCGGTGATTCATTACAGTCATGTGCCAGTACACTGTATCAGTCTGTATGTCTGAGGCTACCAAAGGCAAAATACCAAGACACCATGGCATGTGTACGGAGAGCCCTACATGTCATCTACATGTACATGATTCATGTTCTGTCCGCAGATTGTGTACATGAATGACGTTGTTGGTTGACAGCATGTAGCAAGGTTGAGACCACCGTGTTCGGAAACAGTGACCTTACTACGACTTCCATGGTGGGTAGAGCCCCGGTCTTCACGACCATCTGAACCATATGGGTGTTAGACCCGGTTCTGGCCCTCTTTATTCTAGGGAGTTGGCTTAGTTTTTTTCTTGTTGTTGTACCTTCAGTCGTGTATACGTTGTTCGCGCCTGCATGTCATCTTGATGCTCAGAAACAGAAACACAAAATAAGAAGAATGAGTGCAGAGCTCAAAGAAGGAGACAGAGGCATGTCAGTGACTCCGAAACAGGGACTGCGAGGCTGTGGCTCTCAGGTCTGCTGGCAAGGCATTCGAGACGGAATGGTTAACCAACAAATCAGCGTCTGGGTGCGAGGGAGTAAAGTCACTACCAAAATGGAAACTACAGCGTTTCACCATGCTCAACAACTGACACTCCGCACAAAAATCAAAGAGGTTTCCCAGTCTCGGATCACGTGACCCTTGTTGTGCAAAGGGTCTATACACCATGTAGTCATTGCTACATGTACATTAAGACTTAGTGTGAAAAGCCTCGTGCACGGGCAAAGCAAATGTGCTTACATAATATTATGACACAAAATCTCAATACAAAAAAATTAACAAAACGCCAAGAATCTGAAGAAAAAGGCTCAATCCAATTCTTTGTTGCCATAACGGGAACTGAAACCCAACACAAATCTGAGAAGATGGCAGTTGGCGGTCACGCGGCAAAACGTGTTACGTGTCTACACAAAGGGATCCACGATCCAGTAACCTGGTCACCGCGGAAATCAAGACCACTTTGCAAGGTCTAATCAGTGGTCGCAATATCCACGTTGCTTGATCCGAGCCAATAGTGACGTATGCGCTTGATCGGAGTCAATAGTGACATGTGCGCTGATTGTGCTCGTGTTCTCACTACTCACGCACTTGTAGAAAGTGCTGTACAGCTGAGTTCACAGTTTGAGGCAAGGTTATACATATTATGTTATTAATTTGCCTATGATGTGAAGGTCTTTGGAGGCTTGGACCCCACATCTGCTTACCTCTTTGAAACTACATGATTGTATGTGCAGAGCGAAGGAGATTTTTGTGTGAAACTGTTGCTTTCATTATAGCCTTATTATTGTTGCAGATGAACATAACGTTAGTTTTCGGGGTAAGCAGAATGAAACTTCCTATCGCCCTACACATTTATACAGATCTTTCACCATGCCAACAAATTTCTAAAATTTATTTCGTTACTAAAATTTGCCAGTTTCTCGATTTTTATTGTTTGTACTGTTGAGGCAACGAACTGAAATAATAATAAACCAAACCAAACCAAACCAAAGCAGTGTCTGTCAAACGTTCTCGAGAAAGAAACGGGATAAATTATGAAAATAATGTACATGGAAAGAGTACAAAACAAAAACAAATATCGTCACAACGAATAGAAACTATGCAGTAACCATTCTTTATTGTTGATGCAAATGTGAAAAAGAGATTTTTGTACAGTATTCGTCACAACACTGTTGTTTTCATGCATCAGCAATAAAGAATGGATATTGGATACCCGACAGTTCGTCTTCCTGGTTGCGATATTGAAGTTGTTGCACTCGAACTGCGTATTTCGTTCTCGTTTTGGAGAACACGTTATTTCTGTGCTGTAGCCTCACAACACTACGGCATTGACCAACATTCGAACTCAATTTCAAGACTCACAGTTCTCGATACATACCGGTAGGCCATCTGTGGATAACGGCTGAATTACGATCTCCTTCGAATCAGATTCTGTAGATGGAGCTGAGGCAGGATCCAAAGTTTATTTGATATTGAAAGCCTTGGGGTGAGAGAAAAGAACAGAACAGTATTGGCAGTGTCGATAGCTGGTATAACAGTCATAATGAATTTAGAGTGTTTGCGACAGATACGTGGCAACACGTATTGATAGTCCGCTGAGTCGGTTCCAATTGTTAAACTCGCTAGTAGGGTCCAGCGGATAATGCTCCGAAAACGTTCATATAATGCTAGCCATAATGCGCCAAAAACTACCTTAAAATGCTGATTTTATGCTTTCGAAAGGGCTATAAGGCCACACTTTGTTTTTTCTATGTTTCTCGTCATCGCCCGCGTAGGTTTTCAGAAATTTCGAAGAAAAAAAAAGTTCATACTACGTACATTGTACATGTATGTACGCTGCACATGCTGCAGCAGCTAGATGAGTCAATCAAAATCGTAAATGTTTGCACCACAGCAGCAAAGGAGCGCTCCGGCTCCCCGTCCTATCTGTTCTCTGCGATGAAGGCTGCCATGACGAAGCTTTCAGTCGTGCACTGCCTGAGCCTCGTGGGTCCCAGGAATACCGTAAGTCGGACGAGTTCCGTGGCAACTGGCGTCTGTGGAACGATGTCGTGGGCAGGAAATCCAAGCAATAGACGCGTGGCGAGGAAAAGATGAGCAGCGTGGAGACAATAGTTTGATAAGCGGACACAAGAACGTTGAAGTAACAAAACCAAAAAAGACCAGTGGGAAAGCGTTTGTTGATGCGATAGCAGATAAATGTACGTTCTCTTCGCCATCTCGTATTCATCAAACTTTATACTCTCATTTGTTGCAGTTTGCCTGATATTCGTGGGCTGATGTGATAGTGCAATCAGGTACATGACATTGTATGGGACTATATGTACATGATTGTACAATGTAGTACTGTATACATGCAGGCGCGTACTCGGCGATGGGCACGGGGGGCACGTGCACCCCCCAAGAATTTTCAATCTGGGTAATTGCAATTGTAATGTATGCAAATATGCTCTAAAATTCAAGAAAGGTTGCAAACAAATAATCCCCTCGGCTCCCGTGCACCCCCCTAGTTGGGGGGCCGAGCACGCCCCTGTACATGTACATGGTATACATGGCAGGGTCTTGTATGAATCACGCATACCGCTGAGTCTGCTACATACCGGTATACATGTAAAATGTATACAGTTTTCAGTAGAAATTGTTCTTGTTTTTTCCTTGGCTTTTGTTTTTTTTTCCGCCCGCCCGCATACCTTTTGTTAAAATTTGCCGACGAGAAACATAGAAAAAAACAAAGTGTGGCCTAACCGTTTATGCTCTTGGTTTGAGACCAACTGGGAGAATGGCTGCAAATTGTCACACTTCAAGGAGGGAATGCGTACACTTGTAGTCAATCTTCCTCTAAAGCTGCCGCAATATCTCTCACTAGCTCCACTGCCTGTTACTACTATAAGACATGGTCGCTTCTCTAGTGGCGGCTCTCCAATGCAAATTGATGCAGGGCTGTGGCAGAATAGTGGGTGTATCAAATATTGCCTCCTGATTATCCAGGTAGTGAGAGGTGAAAGTCATTATTGCTGGTGGTCCTTGGGATGCTGGAGGCTTATCATGGCAAGTAAGGGGTATTCCTGCCTGCAGAAAAACTGTCACTGCTTCCACTCTGTGAAAATTGTCCCACCAAAAACAGCAGACATTAGGCCAGTTCATGAGCCGCGATCACGGATGGTCAGAGTCTGAGGCACAACGAGAAAACTCTTCTTCGCCTGTTTCCGCCATGATCCATGGCTAGCCCTTTCCCAAAGGTTCTCTTTTCATGTAATTTGCACTTAGTGCTTTTCGCGTCTCTCAAAATATGCTGAAAAGGTGCTCTTTTTTCAGTGAAAACAGGCAAAAAGTGCTCTTTTTTCAGTGAAGCATAGCCATGATACATGTTCAGATATGAACCCAAGCTGAGAAATGAATACGCACTCTTCCGTTTATGGGTCCACGAAAGGCAAAACAGGAAGTAAAGTTCAAAAACCCCACTTTTTACAACATTGTGTACACCGGGTACCGGGTACATATACAAGCTTCAAAAACTTGTACATATACAAGCTTCAAAAACTTGTTGCCCCCCCCCCCCCCCAAAAGCGGCGTGCCAAGGCCCATCGATCGAGCAATCGGAAACTGTGATCGCATGCATGATCTGAGCAAATAGATTTTAGCACTTTTTCAGCTAAAAAAAGCTCAAAAAGGGCGATATTTACCTAAAAACGTAATAAAGGGCGAAAGAAACGGGCTTTTCCGAAAATGGTCAAAAAGGGTGAAAAGAGGGCGAGCACCTTTGGGAAAGGGCTATCCGTGGCTCTCCATGACTTCTAACAAAACATCTGCTCCATGTAAATTATCGCTTCGAATTAGTGGAGCAGCTTTGGTTGACCCACGAGTCAAAATTCAGACCAAAGTAGTGCCACGTTTCGAATTCAAATTCCTGAATCCGTACATCTTGCACCGTCCAAAACCCATCCGAGCGCCGCATGGGTGCTCCTTTTGGCTTACTAGTATTATTATGGGTCGGATTTCTTTGGCTACGACTGTACATAAATCTGTACATTTACCGGTACGTATAATGTACGTAAATGCATTGCTACATACAGCGGACAAAGACTTTTAAAGTGCTAAAAGTGTTACGTGTTCACAAAGTCATGACTGTACCTGTACAGTCCGTTCCACTTTAACTTCCAGCTGCACCCATTTCAGACCAGATGAGGGTCGGATCTCATGAGTCATGACTTCATGTACTGATGTACAGTCAACTTCGCTAATAACGACTGCGGATATAACGACAATTCGTGAATAACGACAGAATTTCCATGCCCAGAGCAAAGTCCCATCTAACTGTATACATTTGACTTCAGATACAACGACTATCTGAATAACGACAATTCGCGAATAATGACATGCTTTTAGTGCCCCGAGGTCATATTCACTGCTTGAATAACGACTTTCTTGGCTTTTGACAACTATTTCAAGTACCTGTCATGCAGAAGTACCAGAACCCATGACGATGGATAAAGGCACACATGCAAGAAGATGCAGCCAGGGGGGGGGGGGGGTGATTTTATTTTTATTATTTTTATTTTGCTTCTGAATACATGCAGTTGGATTGATCAGCACAGCTACATGTACATATACTTGTACATGTATGGTGTACAGTCAACTTTGCTTATAACGACACTCGGCGGGGCAACAGAAAAGTGTCCTTATTCGCGAAGTGTCGCTATACCCGAAGTCTCATTGTATGTATTACAGTGGGATGGGACTTTGCTCTGGGCACGGAAATTCTGTCGTTATTCGCGAATTGTCGTTATATCCGCAGTCGTTATTAGCGAAGTTGACTGTACATGATTGTACAGTAATCATCATACATCTACATCTACATCTACATCTACATCTACATCTACATCTACATCTACATGTAGATGTAGATGGCTCCAAAGGCTAATTTTTTATCAATTTCCCTTCCATATTGACTGTATAGTTCCTTTCAATTGTAATAATTATGAAAATAAAGTATACATTGGCATAGAGCATGAAAAGAGCTTCATTTTGATATCCATATCAGACTATACAAAATATTGGTTCACATACATTCAAATGGGACTTCGGGTATAAGGACACTTCGCGAATAAGGACACTTTTCTGATGGCCCGCCAAATGTCGTTATTCGCGAAGTTGACTGTAGCCGATTGTTGCGAAAAATCAGCGATTTCCCGATATTATCCACTGTGCAGCTCGTAATGCCACTCAAACCTTACATAATGCTCCTTTTGTTCTAATCTAATGCTCCATAATGCTCTGGTGCTCGGATACTCTAAGTCTCGTAGTGCCGAATATAATCCCGCCATTATCCGCTGGACCCTACTCGATAGCCTCCCGCACGTAATCATTTCGAGCTGTGCGCGATCTCTGTGCCATCCGTGTTATCCCTCGATTGATATAAAAAGCCAAAGTGGGCTCAATATCTTCATTTCCAGTTTACTTTCAGATGAGGAAAGTTGGGATTTCATTTCTTCTTGCATTAGAATACCTACAATTCAAGCTGTAGTGAGACGTCCGTGGATGATGGCGACACCCGGGCACAGTTCTATCTTGGGGAACCTTCATTGGCTACCGCCCGGTGCTGAATTATCGTTCTCTCAGCAATCTACGCAACTACCAGCATCGGCTTCAAATTTCCAGAATCTTGGAGGCGGACATTCTCCAGGCAGGGCACAGCGAGAGCCACTGTCAGCAACACAGACGACCGGTTCTTATGAATGTTTCGACAAACACTGCGATGCCATATTTCAGAGTGCGGATGAGCTAAAGCGTCATGTCCGAAGAGTACATGCAGAACGGAAACACCATTGTGAGTCGTGCCCATTTAGTTGCACCCGAAGAGAAAACCTAGTAACCCACAAGCGTTCTCATACGGGCGAGAAACCCTACCCCTGTGGTGAATGTGAGAAATCTTTCGCACGGAGTGACGAACGGGCGCGACACTGGAGGAGTCACTCTCGACAACGTATTGCTATGTCGGCGAACGAACATCTGACCACCCCACTGTCGATGCAAGCGGGTAATACGGGCGGCAGCGCACGATCCCAAACCTTTTCACAAGGTGTGTCTTTTCACCCTTTCCTGGGCGTAATGTCAGTGAATCAAAGTGCAGGGATCAACGGTGAACTCTTCCATGGTTATGAAGGCGGAATCTGTCCCACAAGTTTTGCCTTCCATCCACAAATCTGTCAACACACAGCCTGGATCACATCCCTCACAATGTAGGAGAAAGTGGCTAAGGTAGTCCCTCAGCTGTGCAACGATGGGTACTCACGGCCCATGACCAAGCGGCGATAGCAGGTACATGCATGGAGCACTGTAGCTTGGACTTAAATGCCGAGCTTGTGAACCACTTACACAAAGAGTGCCAAAGTCCGAGGCTGAAGGCTGATGAGAGCAGTGTCTTAGCTGTTTGCTCCGCAGTCTCGGCCTTGGTGAATCCATTTGTTGTGGATGATGGTACATACTCAAGGCTGATAAGCATTTCATCGTGTGTCGAAGCCTCCGGTAAAGCTGCTAAAGATCTGCTGAGTGCGATGGCTATTGGCGAGGAGTCATTCAGGCTGTTTCTTCATGAGCGTCTGACCTCCAATCCACCACTCAAGTTCTTTCGTAATCCCGCCAAGAAGTTGAGTCTGTCAACCTTCACCATTGAGAAGAAGAAATTGAGCGGAAAAGCTACAAAGAAAGTGGCTGACTTGCAAGTCCTCCAAGCTGATCATTCGGTATTCAGCCGCATCGCCCTCATTGCGCAGACACGTCAGATGGATCTACGAGAAGTCCTCAGGTATCCTCTTGGATCTCTCCCTTGGTCTTTAGCAACGCAAAGCGGTGCCCTTAATAAGACGAACAAGGCAACAATGATGCATCGATGCAAGTTCCATTAACTGTGATGCGCTGAGTTCGATCGGAGAGATAACTAGTTATCCAGGCGAGTAGGGAGCCGGAGACACCGTGAGCACGAAGTTTGGCGATGAGGCCCTTGTGCCACATGGTGTCAAAGGCCTTGGAGAGGTCAAAGAAACAGATGCAGGAGACCTGCCGCTGGTCTTTTAGAGAGCAGAGGTCTTGGATTATGTGGGACAATTGCAGGGATGCGTTGTCCTTAAGACGAAAGCCAGATTGTGAGGGGTGAAGAAGAGGAGAGAGATGGTCATATAAGCGGTCGTACACTTTCCTCTCTAGCCTTTTGGAGACACAGGACAGGAGGGACATTGGTCGATAATTAGACGGGTTGTTCTTGTCGCCTTTATTTTTGTACACTGGAATGACAGTGGCTGACTTCCATAATGACGGGAATGTGGCAGAGGAGAGGGATAGGTTAAAAGGAATGGAGAGTGGGCGGGCAATTAAGTACCTCAGTTTCCTGAGAATCTCACTGGTGATCCTATCTGCCCCGGGGGATTCGTTCAGAAGCAGCCTTGCGATATACTTGTAAACAGTCGATGAGGTGATCATCAGGGAGTGCAATGTAGTTGCTGGTGGAGGTAAGGAGGAAATAGTGGGAATAGGAGCATCAGGGTCAACTTCATGACAGTTGACCCCAAATGTCATGAAGAATCATTTTTACTTTGACTGGATTTCAGTACAAGTTTAGGGTTCACGGATTGGCATGCTAGCGTCGCCAGCTACATCATGCACGTGACAGGCGCGTGCATATACTGTACCATACAATCGGGCAGTGCTCAAAACGCATTTTCCCATCAATATCATTCACTTTCAACTCTACGGGATTCATTACGGTTGGCTCAAACTGCCGGAATTTTTGAATCCACACGCACGGAAGACGTTCCAAGACTTCCACCGTTCGTATTTTTTCAAACGAGTTCCGGGTTTTCTAGTAAATTTGGCCAAAGTTCGGCTAAAAAAACAGGGGGAGCCGTTGCGTTTCCGTAAAATATTGAACGGTAGAAGGATAGCCAAGGTCGAGAGCAAAACAACAAGCCATTATTTGTCAAAATCGAACAAGAAACGGCTCAGCGCATCTATTTTCCGTGCACGCGCGCGCGCGTACTTTGGCCGACAAGGTGTGCAGAATTTCTGAAGAAGAATAACAAGAGCAGTAGCGCTCGGAACAGCCGTGCTGGATACTTCCAATCCCGACACGATGGAGCGTGTTGGCTGTCGTGAGCTGCTGAAACGACCATGACATTTCTTTTTCTTTGTATACCCTACATATCTTGACGTGCCCTTGCTCAGTTTCGGCCTCTTTACAGGAAGAATATTTTCTTCCTTGGCATCAGCGGCCAAGCAGCAAGAAGAGAAACAGATCGAGATTTGCAGGGCAAACAAAGGATGCGTGCAGCTACATCTAGTCAGGTTCGATGCAGCTGCGCTTTGCCAGAACCTCAGCAGATAAGAAAAGACGACAGAGTGTCTCAGATGGAACTGGATCTTTCGCCAAGACCGCCACCGCCGCCATCATCAAGTCCAGGTCAGTCAGAAAAACCGAAGCAAAAATGCAAAGCCCGAGTGAAGTGAAGCCACTGAAGGCTGAAGCCAAGGAAAAATTCAAAAAGTACGCTCTCCGGCTAGACTTCGAGTCGATATTTTTTTACTTCGATAGGCGCTGTCGCGGCCTGTAGCGCGCGTCCATAATCCAAAATGGAGGCGCACGTGACGGGTGCTTTTAATGGCATGCCGTGAACCCTAAAGTTGTAGAACTGCAGAATCAATTTTGTAGTATTTGGGCAACCATTTTTCTTCAAACGCTCTATTTGGAAAATAGATTTTTTTTAAATACATGTCGAAATTGTCAACAGATACATTGACCTCATGCAATGAGTGATATGCGAACTGTCATTATTATTACCATAATTAAAGTATCATTATGTCCAAATTCCACATCTACCCAAATCGGAATACTTGATCACGTGTTCAGTACTACACGGAATGTTTAGAAAACGGCAGGGAATAGGAATTTTCTAACGAGAACTCCAGGCCAGGGTAGAGGGGACGGCTCGATACCGGGACGCTTTGACAGCCAAATTTGTATAGACCCAAACCGATCATCAGCGTTGATTTTTCACTCGAAATATGTTTGTGGAAGGAAACTGGCATGTTGAAGTTTGCACTGGGGCCAGAGTCAATCGAACTGAGCCACTCCTTTGTGTTGACCCATTGCCTCCAAGTTGCCCAATTTTTCGCTTCAAAAAGTTCAAATCAGAGGTGGCTCCAAACCGGACACGTTTTAGAGTGCACGTCAAATTCACTCTGGGACTGAAATTAGGTAATTGCTATCGCTCCACGACGGCGAGTACAGAATAACAATAAGCCTTGTGTGTGCTTCCATTAGTTTTGATTGGTATGCGGTGCTTTATTGGCGAGAGGCGAGCTGCTGTTTACCTGCGACAAGAAGTTGATTTTTCGAAAGTCGTAAACTCTAGTCGCAGTGCGAAGCAACACGTCAAAAACTCACCTGCTTGGTATGGCGCTTCTGGTCATCGAAGAGCCATGAAATTTTGGCTCGGAGTATAACACATCGTAGTCTCACTGTGACATATGTTTTCTAATCAAAATACCAAGAGAGAAAGTGAATATTGAGTCCGTTCCGGTTTGCAACCTGTGTCCTATTTGAAACCGTCCCCTCTACTAGCATACGAACAAAACAAGATAAAAACTCACCAATATACTTGTAGTAATTCATATCGGTGTAATATTCACGACAAGCAACGAGGCATTGGTCAAGCTGCTTTGAAGTCCGGTTGTTCAGGTGATACAAACGGGCTCCCCGTTGTTACTTCCAGCAGCTTCGCTCTCCCTGCGACAGCGGCTATCAGCCTCTCTCTCCATCGTCGACAATTATCACAGATTCAACATTCTACATTTATCAGCACTTCACTGGGTGAATATGTCTCGAGACAAATTAAGCGGATCAACAACGCTTTGCCGGAGATAAATTCTACTCTGGAGGACCTTCAGGGTACCTGAAGGGGTATAGAAGACGGGATCGCTCACGAAGTTGGGAGAACATAGAAAACAACCTCCTCTTCGATTGAAAATTAGCCAAAAAGTGTGTGAAATGTAGGTGCGCAGGCGCATTTCCACTGGCCAGCTAATCCCTTATTACGTCACAAGAATCGCTAAGAATCGCACTTCGTCAATCAAGCAACATCTGTCAGCCCGTACCGATGACTTGCACAAAGATCCGAGCCGCGAGTGAGACGGGGCAAGTGTAGTAGTATTCTTATATTAGTAGTATTCTTATATTTTCCATCGGAAGCCTCAACAGTGATGAACACAACTCTTTTAAAAGAGGGCCGATAACAGGGTAGAGGGGTGTGGGGTGAGAAAAAAAATAAATAATAATAATAATAAGAGATATTTAAACTAAACTAAACTGATACTTGGAACAATAAAGCAGCAGTAAGCAGTAAGCAGTAAACACAGGTATACAATACAAGCGATGCAGATCAATGAGGCCGTTTGCTGAAAAGAAGATCTAAATACTTCTGAAAAGACGCTGCGTCTTTAAGCATGGTCATAATGGGATAGTGCAAGAATTAAAGAGATGTTTTTAAAAACGAATTTAAACTAGGAACGCAGTAAACACAGTTATACAATACAGGCGGTGCAGATCAATGAGGGAGTTTGCTGAAAAGAAGATCAAAATACTTCTGAAAAGACGCTGCGTCTTTTAGCATGGTCTGAAGGTGCTTAGCAAATGTAGTGCGGTGCTGGGTGCGCCACTCCACAGGCAAAGAATTAAAGAACAGGGCAGCACGATTTGAAAAGGAATTGACACCGTCAGTCGTCCGGAATTTAGATATTGCAATAGCAGCATTAAAAGAGCTTCTTGTTGTCCTAGGGCCGGTTGAAACTTGAGGGAAAAGGTCCGTCAGATTTGGGAGAGGGAAAACGACATGATTAACATGGATAAATTTAGCAATGCTACGAATAAGGTAATGTTCAAACGGATCAATCGACAATCTAGCTAACAGCGGCATGACGTCCTCTTGTAGTTTCGAGCCACAAGCAGCGCGTACAGAACGACGATAAACGGACGAGAGTCGCTGTCGGTCCTTGGCGGATAGCTTCATTGCAAAGCAAGAGCAGCAGTATAATAAGTCAGGCAGGATAACCGAGAGGATAAACTGCCGTGTTGCCTTCAAACTTAGTTGCCGAAAACACCGTCGAAGAGCGCCAATTTTCGTGCAAGTCTTCCTAACGATAAAGTCTATGTGACCAGACCAAGAAACATCACTGTCTACAATGACTCCCAGGATTCTCGTGCTAGACACTTGAGTCAGAGGCTGTTGGTTAAAAACGATTGGAGTTGAGAGGGGTTGAGAAGACTTAGAAATCATCAAAGTTACAGTCTTTGTTGTATTAATGCGCAGCCCAAGCTCGTCTAGATCCACAGAAATTGCAGATAACGAATCAGTAACGGTAGCGACGGCCTCAGCTTGTGTACGTCTGCTGGCATACAACGTCATGTCGTCAGCGAACATCGGGAGCTTGCAAGAAAAGGCCTCTGCTGTCAATGGGAGCTTCCGTACATATATGTTAAATAGCACCGGACCCAGAATGGTGCCCTGTGGCACGCCACTAGTGATTGCCACCAACGGAGATGTTCCAGTGTGGGTAACCACCCGCTGTTGTCTGGCACAAAGGTATGATCGGAACCAGGCCAGGGCCACTCCCGAAATACCGACAGCTGCGAGAGCAAGAAGAAGCTGTTGATGCTTCACCATATCGAACGCTTTTTTCAAATCAATACAGACAACCGCCGTATGCAGTCCAGCGTCGCGCGAGACAAGCCAGTCGTTCGTAACCTTGGTGAGAAGCTGTCCGGTAGAACGGTGCTTCCGAAAGCCAAACTGGTCCACATGGAATGGGCAACGATCATTAAAAAAAAGATGTATACGAGAAAACACAAGCCCCTCCAGGAGCTTGGCTAGGATAGATGTTAAAGACACTGGGCGGTAGTTAGAAGGGCAGTCGCGGGGGCCTTGAGTTGACTTCAGAATTGGTGTAATGTTTGCAATTTTGAACAAGGATGGGAATTGACCAGACGAGAGGGAAGTGTTGAATAAGATAGTAAGTGATAGAGCAAATTACGTCTTTTGATATTTTAAGTAGACACGGAAGAATGCCGTCCGGTCCAGGGGCTTTATTACTTTGGAGGTCACCGATCCGAAGCTTCACCTCTGCTACTGTAACGGCTGAAAACGTAGTAAGGTCGTCGGATTTAGCAGGTCCCATTGGGAGCTTGTAATTCGCTTCCTTATCTGTGACAATCGAGTGAAAATAGTCGTTCAATCGCTCAGGTGGGATGGTAACCGTTTGCTTCGGAGAGGAACGCTTTGTGATCATATTCAAGGCTTTCCAGAACTGCCGAGGCTCCCGTTCATACCGCTGGCACTGGTCTGAAAAGTAAAGATTCTGTAGGTGTCGATACAAGTTATTGCACTGGTTGCGCAGCCGCTTGAATTGTACAGATAGGCTCTCGTCTCGAAAGTTAGTAGCTTTTAGTTTCTTGAAGACCGATTTGCGCTTTCTAATCAAGGCAAGGAGGGGCGAGGTCATGAACGGGCAATTTTTCCGACGGGACTTCCTGTGTTTCCTGGTTACGTACGGTGCGATGATATCAAGCACAGCATTGACTTTCCCTGTCCACTCGTCCAACATCAGGTCTGGGGTACGGGATGTAAAGATATGAAGATCGGAGGACAGCAGCATATCGCAGAAACGCTGAGCGTTGAAGTTCCGGTAGTCTCTGCGTGTTTGATGGGTAGTAGTATTGCTCCGCGCATCCATGATGGGCACTGGGACGGGAGTAATGACGAGGCGATGGTCTGAAAACTCACAGTCCACGACAGAGGCTGACGGAACTCGATCAATGTTTGTGAGAATACAGTCAATGGATGTACGGGTAGAGCCTGTTATTCTTGTTGCTTCAGTTACTTTATTGGCCAGTCTGCACGGAAGTAGCAACGTGTCTTTGAGATGGTGGAACGCACTGGACGTCTGACGCAGAAAGTCCACATTTATGTCACCTAGCAACACAATATTCTCGCCGTCCAGCTGCTCCGTGGATGTAGCGAGCCGATTCCAAAACTCTACCGGCTCGGATGGGGGACGGTATATGCAACCAAACAAGGTACTATCTTTGCCTGTGCCAGCTCTAAGCCACATCAACTCTAGACTGGAGTGTGAGTAGTCCAAGATGTGCTTAGCCTTAACATGTTCCTTTACGAAGATGCAGATCCCGCCTCCTTTACGACATGGAGTGCAGGAGGATAGGCAAGTGCATCCATCAGCGCACGGCCTGTCTCGACGTAAGAGAATTGTGCCTGGTACAGAAACCTCAGTGTCCGAGATGCTTGAGTCGAGCCACGTTTCCGTAACCGCCAGCAGATCTAGGCAGTGCTCATCTATTAGCTTAGTTATAACATGGGTTTTATGTCGTAGGCTGCAAATGTTTATGTGGCCAACATTTAGTCGGTTGGATGGATGAATTGTAGAGTAGAATGCTGGGGTTGAGGGATTTGGAGACGAAGGGGTGAACACAGGAGCATGCGGGTTCAGGGGCTGTGAATACCGGTAGGTGGTGTGTGGCATGCACCCTGTGCACCCAGGCTACACTGCGGGCACCCTACACAAGGCTACAGTATACCATGGTATACACCGACACCGTCTGTAGTCTGTCCCCGGGGAAAATTGCGGAAAAAAATCGCAAAAAAACGCGGGGAAAAACGCGGCATAATATGGCATAATTTGCGGTGAATTTGCGGTAAATATGCTGTAAATATGCGGTGAATGCGGCAATTTTCAGTGAGTATGTAGTGAAATCAATCAGTTACAAGTCTCTGGTGTATAAAGCACCCATTATTTGAGTAAAAAGCCGCCACGATGAGACGTTGCTGACCGAAAAGTGCACTGTGTGTACGTGTAGTCACTGTAGTGCAACAAAAAAGTTCAAAAAACGCGGGAAAATCGCGGAAAACGCGGTCTTTTAAAAAATCGAAAAAAAACGCGGAAAAAAACGCGGCCGCGGAATCGCAATTTTCCCCGGGGACAGTGTAGTGTAGTGTACTTTTTTTGTCAGCATGAATGAACGGTGCACGGCATGTACATGTACATGTCATGATGTACATCACTATGTCATGTACATGATCAGTACCGTCACTGTCTTCAGCAGCTCATGAGTCATGTGCACTTGTAGGGTTAGTGGAAGTACATGCCTGTATATTATGTGAAGAGAAGCCAGGCGTCCAAACCAACCCAAAATACTCTTGCCATATTTTTCGGTGAAACAGTTATAAAAAATTTGTCTTACTAAACAACAGTGAGCATAGAAGCAACCTCGATGCACCCAATAATATCATGAATATGGCATCCGGGAACAGCAAGTGTTGCACGAGGATCCCAAGAACACGTCAAGTTCCATGCTACCCGCCGCCATCAAAAGAACGAAGAATAACTGTGCTAGCCTAGTTCATATTCAATGTAACGCTATCGGTACGGGATATAGGAGCCTGTTGGGAAGGCGTGGGTGAGCTGTTAAAATCATGTACGGTTCGCACAGCACAACATACATGCAGCTGTTATTGCGACGGTTAACGTCGATGGACGAGAGTCATAAAGCACAGTCCATGGGGGTTGACGTTTCTGGGCTTCCTTTCCGAAAGGAAATTTTTACTTGTATTTCTTCTCTAATAAAGCAGAATCATGCTGATTATACCAGTCTGTTATGGAAACAAGAAAGCAGGCATGGACATTGTGCCACACTAAAGGAACGACAGGTAAAAGATAAAGCACGTCATCTGAAAACTCAAGGACTATCCATAAATACAGCAAATGATAATCCTAGCCTGGTAATGTCCAACTCCGTCATGTGAGCCATTCGGTGGGAAGCATAATGTTCGAAATGCTGAAATTTGAACAGTTGCAGTTGTGTTCGTCGCCACACAATGCCATCGCCAGTTCACATTCAAAATGTAG